TCGTTGTGGGAGGCGTGAAAGTCAAACTGGAGGTCGTTCTGATGCTGTCGCCACTCAGCTAAAACCGATTCGTATGCCACCTTTGAGGTGTGGAGGTAGGCTTGGAGGAACTGCCGAGTGCGTTTTTTCCACCCAGCCCACACGACCCCAACATTTGCAGCCGTACTGAGCTGTGTCAGGAGAGTCTGTCCCTCCGCACGAATCGTAGCCGTCACCTCGGGGATACGCAGAAGTTCTTTGGGAAGCTTCCAATACCACCGTGTTCGTTCCCCAGCCACAGGTAACAATGTCAACGCGTGGCACAGGTGGTCAGTGGGGTCGGGACACTGAACGTAGGTAGCCGATCGATACGCCACCTGGACAAGTTGGGCATCGGCGATGATGTAGTCGAGCCGATTGCTACCCTTTGGGGAAGAGTAGATGCGTTCCCTAGGGTGGTGCGATCGCCATGCATCCACCACCTCGAGACACTGTAGCCACGACATTAATTCGTGTCGCCCCGTGTGATGGGAGCTGTGACCGTCCAAAGAATCGACGGCACGATCGATAGGGAGTTTGAAGTCGCCCATGACGACGTGAATATACCCGGGGTGGAAATCCCGTGGCAACCCCCAGAAGAAGACCTCCCGAGGGTCGTTGGGCACTGGGGCATACACGTTGCTCTTCGTACATGGTCGCAGAGACCCACGTTTTTCCTGCCAGTTCGCCTCGTGTGCGTTTGAGCGGTTTCCTGGGTTGTACGAAGTCATCGACTTCCATGTCCCCCACCATGGTGTGAAAGACCTCTTGCGTTGTTTGCGGTTGGTCCTCCACCTCCATTGTCTCAGCCCCCATCGGTTCCTCCAGTTCATGATGTCCTACGTAGTCGACCGGGGGTTGAGGCGGAGTGTTCGCCGTTTGCAGCTGGGATCAACAACATTTTGTAGCTTGTCCACCCGGGCCCGCTTGCTATCATCATCGTCTACCTGTGACGTTCCATGAGGCTCCTCCATAGTATCTCCGAGAACTCGGTCAAGATCCATGCAATGGGGAGATATGCGGCTGCGCCGCGGTGCCGCCGATTTGACGTAGTCTTTCACGAAAACCCCGTAATGCGACCCATGCAAGATAATTTGGTCCATAGGACGGCCGTTCATCAGTAGCCCCACCGGTGTGTTGAAATACACCCGCCGTATATTGGGATGCACGGTGGACGGATGATGTTTCATCGAGTACGTCAAATTGTAGCAGACGAAGACCGGGCGAGTTTTCAGTCTGCGGAGCGCTCTGAAGAGTGCCTGTGAGTCGAAATTGAAACTTGTGCCCACCACGTCCATGTAGTACAGGTCTTGCAGCTCGCCATGCTGCTGGCCACCATGTCCACGGTGTGGAGCAGTAGTTGGAGAGGTGACAGAGTACGTATTGCCGAGGAGCCGGACAGACTGGCCTAGCATCCCCAGTCGAGTCTCCTCATC